CTGATGTGATATGATAGATTTAGCCGAGCGAGATGGGTCCATTTTTTGACGTGGTATGGCCTTTCCCTGCGGGGTGATTCGGAATGGTGGACGACTGCTGGAGTCGGGAGTTCCCCCCAACAATTTCGGCTGCAATGCTGCAATCAATGTGTATATATATATATGATTTAACATGTCATACATGTATTATATATAGATACTCTTATGGTACATACTCTTTGGTAATCAAGTAATCAAACATGTCTTGCTGGAACCGATCCATATTTAGATGCCCGTGGAAAGTACGGATCAGGGATTTCCCAGCTAGCCATGTTGGATTACCCATATGAGCGAATACAACTTTATATGATATTCATATTCCATTGACATTCTATTCATATTCCATCAAGATTCTAGTAATATTGCATTAGTATTCCATTGCAATTCCATTAATATTCCAGTAATATCCCATTAATATTCCATCGCAATTCCATGAATCTTCCATCAATATTCGATTACATTCCCATGATATTCCATTATATCCCAATGATATTCTATTAACATCAGTGTAATGGAATATTCACATCCCCATGATATCCCCTATATCCCATACTATATCCCAATATAATAATATATTCCATGAACATGATATTAACATCCTCATTTTATAGCACCATGTTTGGTAAAATCCTTTGCCGGTCTCAGGTGAAGGTGAAGGAATGGGAGGAGACGCGTGAGGAGCAGAAGCGCCGTATCCTGGAAGGCCCAGGGTCTTCCTGAAATGGGGGTACCCCAATAGCTGGATGGTTTGTACTGCTATGGAAATCTATGGGTTTCTTGTTCGGAAATGATCCCCTTTTGTGGATTTTCCATAGCAATGTTAGTTTACTGGGTGGTAATTCCATTATACAATCACCATTATATAATCATCATTAATCACCATTAATCACCATTAATCTCCACTAATCACCATTATTAATCCATGAACATCCCATTTCTTTCATTTCTTTCGCCAGGCTTGGAAGAGGTCGAAGAGAAGAAGCCGGCCCCTGCCGAGGAGGCCCCTGAGGAGACCAAGGTGCGGCGCTGGTAGTCACTGAAGATATTTGTATCACTGGTGAGTAATGGTGATTAATAGCATTGTTCATCCATTTTCAGGATTTGTAACTTAAGTCACTTTGTCATGATTTTTAGTTGAGCGTTTATGTATTTTTGTATATTCAGTCAAGTATCATTGCTATTGTATTTATTGTTTTTTCTCGATAAGATTGGATCGTAGGGGGAGTTCACTAACCCCCCAAGTTGTTTCCATACTTAAACATGGGAAGATTATTTGGACAAAGCCAGTTTATGGCCATTGGAAGAAGAATTGGGCAAAAGATTTTCTCAACTTTAAAATTATTTTGGGGCAATTTAGTTTTAGGCAAAAGCAAATGTGGATGGCTCAAGATTCTCGGACTTGCAAGGTTAATGGTTAAGAATCTGATAATGACAAACCCCCAATTTTGAGTCCAACCCATGCGTGATTGAAATCATGAAGGTATAAGTCAGTATAAATGGTCAACACTCTCATGACATGTGAAGCATGGATGTCTTAAACCAATAGTGTCAGTTTCTACAATACGTTTCCACACCAGTGAAAAATGGGTCATTCTTTTGAAAAAGCAGTTTACTTTGGAAGTTCTGAAGCTGATGAACAACTGGATACTCTGTTTTGGGAATTTTGCATGATCATATCATCATATCCTTGTTGGGTCAGAGATGATCTCGGAACTCTCTGCGGCGACTCTTGGGGATCAACTCATGGCATGGGCCACATCAGGAAGAGGCGAAGGAAGAAGCCACGGAAGAGTGAGATTTTGATCCATCCAGTGTCAGGTGGTTAGATGTGTCTCAGACGGAGGGTGGTGGTCGTTTGAACCAAGCGACGTTACTAACAGATGTCACAGCGCTGGACCCCCTCGCACGTTGCCAAATCTTGAGGCAAAAAAAGGGCCCTTGGAAATGGGTGAAATGGAACGTTTGGGGAATTTAATCTATAACGGTATCCAAATTTGGTTGCAGCATGATATTGGCATGTCCAGTGCTGTTGCATAGATTTGCCTGGTAAGACAACACAGAAGGGACATTTTCAATATCAACTGCGGAATTCAAGACTCTGTTCTGGCAGAGACGAAAACGAAATAGTGAGTTCTGCTTGCCATTTTCACTTTTGCACATAGCAGAGATACTGGCATATACTGGCCATTATTGGCCATTAGATTTGACAAGCCTCAAACACACGCGGTGCATTGTCCTAGGTGCCCTTGATTCCTCTTGTGCACGAATGCACATGGCTATCAAAGGTAGTGCAGCTCTTCTGGTTGTCTCAGCCATTGTGTACGCATTGAGGTGTGCATTGGCCGAACTTGTTCCAGAACATGCAACTGCCGCATATTATTCTGTTGTAGATGTCCTAGGTGCTTGCAACTACAGCAAATGGCAGCAAGTTGGTAAATGCTCTGTGACATGCGGTCACGGTGTTGCGGATTTCCAAAGCTCTCCAGCGGATCCAGATGGGTCTGCCAAGTCTTGCCCGGTTTTGAAGAGCGCAAGGCCTTGTGACGCAGGAAAGTGCCCTGTCCATTGCAGGGGCCAATGGTCTTCATGGGACACTTGCAGGCCAAACTGCACGAAGGTCCGCCACTATCAGATTCTCCTGCCTGAGAGTTTGGGAGGCCAGCCATGCTCTCAAGAGGGAGCTGTGGAGTTGGCAGCATGCACCGACGGAAGTTGCTCAATTGACTGTGAGGTGGGAACCTGGACAGCTGAACGGTGCACACGTCCCTGTGGAGGTGGTCAACAGGTATACCGCCGGCCAGTCATGACAGCTCCTCTGGGACGTGGACGAATTTGCCCGGCGTTGGAGATGTGGGAGAGTTGCAACACACAGGAGTGCACCTATCCCAAGATTTTGGCAAAACTCAGAGATGCGGTCACCAATTTTTCAGCTGGAGAGCCTGTTCTGGATGTTGTGAAGTCTGAAGCGGAGGGCTTCAGGAGTTTGGCAAAGACCTCACATGCAGATGACGTGCAAGGAAAAGAATGGGGCACCTTTGTTGATGAGGTGAGGGTTCTGTCACGAGATTACAATCAGGGCAAGAAACAGCTTTACCAAGGGCTTGCAAAGTTCATGGCACTTTCAAAGCAAGCACCTGATGAACTTGAGTCGCTCTTCCAAGAATTTCTTGCCAGAGACTGGATCATGGCCCGTCGTAGGTTTACCAGGTTTGCAATCAAGTTTGCAAAAGTTGCTCAAATGATTGAAGAGGCTCATCGTTCCTTCATGGCAATGGAGAAACGTGCAGAGACATACCGTGAGAAGGCAGTGGATCAGCAAGAGACTTTTCAGGACATTGCCGCCGATGTCTACGCTCTCGGGGTGTCTCGTGAGTCTGCGGATTTTAGTGGCTTTGCAGTGGAGCATGGCAAAGATCACAGAGGTTCGGACATCGCATGTGGAAAATTCAAGACCATCCATGACCCGGCCAATCATTGCCTACATGACGCGTCTTGCAAGGCTTTTACATTGATGAATGGACAGCCTTGGTGTTTGAAGCACTTGCGCTATGATGATGGTCCCATCACAGATGGAACACATGTTTTCTACACAAAGCTTGTGCAGAGCGGAGGGGTGGTCCAAAGTCCCGATAAGGTGCAAGCGTTCCTGAAACGATGGTCTTTTGCTGCCAGCTTCCTGATGAAGGTGGAGGAAACGATCAGCCGCGTTGCTGCAAAGATTGGTAGCATTCAGCAGGAGCTTGAAGAAACGGAAGTGATTCTAGCAGAGTTGGAAGGCATGTTGGATGCCAACCTCGAAGCACAACGTCGTGTGGAAGAGTTGATCCATGACATCGCTTCAGCTTTCAAAACCATTGTGGCTTATTTGGAACCTATGATGAAATGAGGCTGACTTGTCATGATGCCTCCGCACTTCTCCACCTGCAGGGATTTTGGAGTCAAGGCTGAGTCGGCCACACGGAACAGACTCCCCTCTCGTGGTTGCAGGTTTTAAATTCCACAGATGCGGCTGGTTTCAAAAGAAAAGGCCACTTGCTTATCATGAAAGCTAGCGGTAGCTAGCTGGAGTTACTCTTGCTTCAGCAAGGGGAGGGGCAGGTCTGAGTCCAACACAGTGATTTTTCACTCAACCCCCCCAAGCTCCCGGGGTATTTTGAAGCAGTGTTGGAAGCAGATGGTCACGGGCTCAAATCCTGCCAGGTCTGAAGGCAATTTGTATTCAGCATATCCACATATCCAAATCCCATCAAAATGCCCTCATGTTTCCAGGCTCATATGAACCTTAGCTTTCGTTCCCCCCCTCCCTTGGGCCTTAAGTTTACCAAATTGTAAATGCCAATTCGGTCAACCTTTCACTTGGCTCTGTTTACTAAATCCCATTCTGCCGCTTTGCAATTCTTGTCTTCAGACATAGAGTCAGATACAAACCTCCAAAAGCCTCATTCCTGAGCGCTATCAATGACACAGATGCCAAGAAGTATTTAGTGTTATGTCAGACTTGTTTTTCCAGGAAACGTATTCTTCCATATTACATATTCCTTATTTCAGTATGGATTTGTTCTCCTGGCTGGACGGATGCATTGCTTCTTTTGCTGATCCTAGTGGCTCATGCAGTGTTTCAACAGTTGCCCACAGACTGGAACATGGAAACTGCAGTCGTGACCTCATGATCTAAGAGGTAAAAAAGGCGACAACATTCAGCCCACTTAGAAGTTAGGGTCCGCATTGTACGACACTCACTTGCATTATATTCAGTACATGTCCACCGTAGTCAGGATTGGCACATGGTTTCGAAGATGCAGCCAACAAGATACTTGCCAATTGGAATTGATTTTGCCTTCAGAATGGAACATTGAAGAGCTTAAAGTCCTGATAGCAACGCTTTCCAGGGGGAGCACGTGCTTCTGCCTGCATCCGCGATTCGCGACCCGCTGGCCTTGATCCGCGCTCCGCGTTTTTTGATGCTACTTCGCAGAACTGGGGAGATGACCACCCCCACACTCCCGCGAGTGACGTTTAAACTGGCCGGGGGACTTGGTGGAAAGGGAAGTGGAGAACAGCTCGGTCACACCGAAAGGTGTTCAAAGCTGCAACGATGGACGCCGAATTTGTTGAATTGAAGGTTTGAAGTGTCGGCAGCCTTTGAACTTGGAATAGTGAAGAAGTCTCGATTCAGTTAGGTGATTTATCTTAATTTGGTGAGGTTGTGACCAGTGTTCACTGCTGCAGGACCCTTCGTCTCCTTGCAGTGATGCGACTGGAAGGCTTCGGGGGTGCTGGCATGGCTTTGGTGGGCCAAGAGATCAGTCATTGGTTGAATGATTAGAGATTCAACATGTTGTGTTATGTTTTTGACATATCACCAGTCATTTCTATTTGGGGTTACAAAACGATTTGGCACCCCAATCCCCTATCATTCCATGGAAAGATGCCCCGAGGTCGCGGAGGGCCGGCTCTATGGATGAACAAAGGCGGGACTCAGTCGGACTAGCGTGGATTTTAAGGCTTTCAAGGTATAGCTCCAAAAAAAACCAGGTGTTGAACGGTGTTATAACCATTTTGGTGGGAGAACATGATTAACCAACAGATTCAGAGCGCCTCGCTGCAGGAAATTTGATGCGAAGGCGTTCATGCCGAAACGCGTCAATGCAGAGATTTCAAGGCTGCAGTGCCGGCAGTGCTGCATCTCCCCAACTATAGGGATACAATGTCATGTAGTTATCAACCAACGGCAATAGGGATATAACCAACTTATAACCAGCTATGATGTTGGTTGGATATAGTTTACAGTATGTTGGATCTCAAGGGTACATCATTTTTAGACGATCCAAATGGATCAGAAAACAAAAGCGTTTCAAAGTTCAATGAGAAATTTGTACCAAGACGATGGGGGTACTGAACTGGAGTCAGGTTCACTGTGCCATCTCTGGTCTTGTGCCTTTCAAACTGCTGGGATTTTTTAGGCGTTACGACATCGACAAGAATGAGATCGGATCTGGTGGCTATGGTAAGGTGTGGCGCTGAGCAAAACGGAGCCCCAATATATATATATACCCGATTCGAAATGTCATAAATTGAAAGCAATCCAGTATACCATGATATACCATGTATACCCTGATCCATTCATCGAAACAGAAGAACCACATCGGAGGTATGATTTCCATTGATTTCCCTCCACGTAGGTCCTTGTTTTGACCGGCACCGGCAGCCAAGGTCTTCATTGGCCGCGACAGGAACATGAGGGACAGACTTGTAGCCATCAAGAAGGTGATCATCTTTGAAGACGCAAAGAAAAAGGCGTTTTTGCAGGAGGCCCAAATCATGAAGGACAGACTGTCACCGTGAGTCACCGTCACCGTCACGTCAGCGTGAGATTTTTTGCACCTCTTTCCAGCTGTTGAAGATGCTCGTCCCAGTGCAGGATTTGGACCATCCCAATATCTGTAAGCTCTTGGAGACCTACGAACAGGGCCGTGCCTTGGAGATATGGAGTTTGGTATGGCTGGTGTGTTGCCAACATTATTTTTGTTTGCGTTTTTTTCAATCCATTGCTAGCTGGGATGATGATCCAAATGACCATTATGATATATGA